AAGAGAACATAGGCAACATTCTTGGAATGTTGGAAACTTACGTAAGAACATTCTATCAACGTTGTCAGAATGTGGCGCAGGCACTTATCGCTACATTCGGGGAATGTTTTCAAAGGGATATTCTTAAAACATTCAAAGAACGACATAGAACATTACCAGGATATTCAATCAACATTCAAATATCCTAACAAGGTTCTAAGAACATTCTCAGAACACCCAAAGAACTTCTGCAATTTTCTGAGTTGCAGAACCGAACGTGGCGTGGATACATCCCTATATTCAGGAAGCATTTTCTGAGGCTTATGTACGAAGATTCTACAATTACGGTTTGATTAGGAAACAGCACGAATCAGCCGTACTACATATATGGATGGTGGTAAAGCTGCTCACAGGGCGATGGATATTGTTTAATCGAAAGATATTTTTAGAAAGCCGAAGCACAAGATTACCGCTTTCCCAGCTCACCAGCCAGAGCATGTACTAACGACACTTTACTCCTACCTGTCACTTGTCAACTTCTTTCATTCAAAATGTGCTGCATACATAACCGATTACTCACTCCGAGCTTAGAACAGATACACATGGCATCCCACACTCAACTGCAGGATATACCCTTTTCAAAGTATTGTACCCCACATGCTAAAAATCGGGTCTATTCAAAACTGCACTTCTACATACGCAGTGAGTGCCAAGTGCATTATGAAGTTTTGAAAACCATTGTTTTTCTCCTACACCTTATATCACATTCCTTGGCAGATTCATATATAACATAAAACTAATCCCTTATGCTAAGTCTCCAGAAACTCCACTTAACTTGCATATTTTTGGCACAAAGTGGCATATAGTGGATGGTGTTTCGAACCACAGGTTGTGTGAGAGCTCCTTAAAGTTGGCTTCACCTGCGAAAATTCTAGGAATGTTCGCAAGCGAATGTTCAAAGAATGTTGCGCATATGAATATTCGAAGGCGAATGTTCCGAGAACATTGTGCATATGAATGTTCTCCAACGAACGTTCCTAGAATGTTGAGCAGCTTACCTTGTGGGGAATGTTCACATACGAACGTTCCTAGAACGTTACGAATGGTGTTTTAACGTTCCTTCAACATTCAGAACACCCAGGGAATGTTCGCACGGCATTGGGTGCTACGTGGGAATAAACACTTCGAAAAGTGTGAATATCGCAATTATGTGCTTGGAAGAAACGCATACATTCAAAGCGGGATGGTGCACGCGTGCCGGATGTATTTGAAAATAAATGGAGGCTTTGTGAACCTGTTACCCACATTGTAGTAAAAGTTTCAAAATTAAACTATTATGCAAGAGTATATGTTAGGTAGAGATGCCCTTTCAACCTGCGTTCATCATGCGCAATTCTTTCTTTTTAGCTCAAGATTAAAGAAAGAATATTTTATATGGCAAGATTTGTAAATTCACTCAATTGGGTATAATTGGCCATCTCTATAGAAATCATTTTATATCAGATCCGTCGTTTATTGCCATCCCATGACATCAGACTTTCTGAGGTCACAGTTCATAAATATTTGAATAAATGAACAAGTAGAACAACATTCATGATTTTAGCTGGATTTTTTGTCTAAGCATATGATATGCAACAGTAGTGAAAGGCGTGGGAAAACTTTTCGATATTCAAATTGAAAATATTTGGCCAAAACCACTATTCGCTTCAAACTCAAAATTTACTATTTGCACATGACTATAACTTAGAATCAACTGTTTTTCAAAATTGCCATCGGCCCACGTACATCAGTTAATGTTTTTGTTTATTTTTCACTCCAAAACGAATGAGGACACGGATGGTCGCATAATTATACCTTACGGGATATACTCGGAAGCAGGCCTGAACATAGCAGGTCAAACAGCTTCGAAAGAATATACAGGAAAGGAGACAAAGTGAGGCCTTCTGGTACTCAACGAGAATGTATGACGACCACTGCGGCGTCTGTGTCCAAAAAGTCATCTGTGGTTCCACAACAAAGTGTCCAACCATTGGGGTGTTTCTTGAGGCTATCAACGAAAAAGGCAATTTCATTTGAACCTGCCTTCGTGTTTACTCGAGCGACTCTGAAGAGAACAAATAGGTGAAACAAGCGCCGGCTTTCTGCACAGTGTGGGGATGGCTTCCTTGAAAACTAATAGGGAAGAGGAGACGGTGACCCGCTGGGTGTAAAAATGACAGCACGGACATATCCTACAAAGGGGAAGGGAGAGGGGGGTGCAGACACAGCCCAGACGGAACACTCAGAGACATATTGCACAAGCACCGACACCCGCAGATGGTCCCCACATGAGAAGAGTGAGCCAAAGTCGGTGAAGCGGACATTGTTTGCCGCCCCTACCACCGCGGGTGCCGCTACCTTTATCTCCCGGATCCGTGCTGACTCGTCCGTCAATTTTCAGTCATGTGCTAAAGCAGACAATTTTTTGTTTGTTTAATGTGTGGCCACAGTTACAGTTACAGTTACCCAATACAAAAGAAACAGTGTTACATTTACAAGTTGCCAGCAGTAAAGAGTAACTCGTTACAGGTAAAAGTTACCAAAAAAGTAACTCTAGTTACCGGTAATGCATTACTAGTAACTAGTTACTGCCCAAGACTGCTTGTCATGCATGGTCTGGATACAAATGCTTTGCTCTTACCAGCGCTTTGGTCTTAGGAGAAGCAGCCTTTGAAGCGTCATCTTCGATGTCGCTCATCAAAAACATTGACTTATCAATTTTTGCAAATAAATTATGCACATCAAAATGCTAAAATGGCAAATCACACAAGAAAATAAACACCCTTCGGGTTTAAATTTTTCTAATTTCTCAGTTTACCTTTCTTCTTACTGTAGTGTAACAAATAAAATAATATTGTTTTGGTTTGTGGTTTCTTGAGTCCAATTTTTGTACTGTAACAAGAAAGTAACGGCGTTACTGTTTTTGCAGTGACTGTAACCTTTTACTTTTTGAAGCCGGTAACTGTCACTGTAACAGTGTTACTTTTCCCCCTAGGTAACTGCCACTGTAACAGTGTTACTTTTCCCCCTAGGTAACTGTAACTGTAACACTGTTACTTTAATTTTTGCTGTTAACGTGCCCATGACTGATGACGAGGTTCAATTTCTTTGTTATGCTCTGGTAGTAAACACCCTGCTGTGGGGATAACAAGTTCAATAAAGTACCCCTTATAGTTTGATCTCCTGCCCATCGTATATTATCAGGCACCGAACAGTGGTTCTGAGCGCTGCGACACATTGCACACCGTGCTGCTTGACATTTAGAGCCTTTACCCAAAAGGAGACTTTGCTATCTTTGGCGACTTTAATTTTCAGACATTGACTGGGTTCATCTTACCACGAGCAGCTCAAATGCTGCGCGAGAGTTTTTCAATATAACTGTTTGAATTTTAACCTCACACCCGGTTGTCGAACAACCCACCCATGGCAACAATATTCTTGACCTTACCCTTACAAGCACAACAGAAATAATAAGAACTGTCAACTGTGTTGCTGGCTTAAGTGACCAGGGAATTTTGATCATCGAGTTATCTATCCCTGTGCCGACGCAAGGCCCAACTGTTCAAACAATTCGTGACTATAACAAAGGTGATTACTACGTCACCACAAATCGGAACTTGTCATCGTTCTAGCAGTCGTATGTCGAAACCTTTCGTTCAAGATCGGTGGGAGAAAACTGGTTACTATTTAAAAACAAACTTAATAATTTAACTCGGCAGTTTGTTCCGAATGTCATTGTAAACAGCGACGGGCATAACCCCTGGTACAATAAAACTTTACGATCATTATAAATAACAAAAAGAAGCGCATGTATAAAAGAGCTAAAAGACTAAATAATAACAAAGTCTGGGACGATTATTTTTCATGTCTCAAGTCTTGTACAGAGCGTAAAGTTGACGAAAAAAAAGTTATTTTCTTTGGACCTGCAAGAATTCTGCAAAGTAACCCCCAGAAGTTCTGGAAAGTATTTTCACCCAGAGATAATACTGACTCTATCCGACTAAAGAATGAAAATGTAGACGCCGTGTGAGCCACATTGCACTCCCGCTTTAAATAAATATTTCTCTTCCATACTATCAAATGAAAGCATTGATCATATATATCTAGTTTGCCTCGCTCTGGTTTTGAGCCCATGGCCCCCACTGACACAAACATTTCTGCTTCCAGAATACTTTGACTTATAGAAGGTTTAAAACTCTCATCATCTTAAAGGCCCGTTCACACACATGCGTCCGTAGCGACCGGAACGACCGTTGCAACGGTCTGCAACCGTCAGTTGCCATAGCGACGGAGGGACGCACGCACGTGTCGTTCACGACGCAAGGAGTTGGAGCGAGCCCAACTTTCCCCGATGCGTTGGAAACGACCGAAGCGACCGCAACGACAGACCAATCACAGGTCGAGGAGAAACGAGCGATTCGGAGGAGGAATAATGAAAGGTCACGTGACCCGACGTCACCGGAAGTGACGTCACAAATATAACGTCACGTGACAAAAAAATTTTGTTTTGCTTGTTTTTGTTTGTTTTGTTTTCTGTGACGTCACGGTTTTTAGCGAGGAACCTTTCTTTTATTTTTACTCTGTTGACGTATTATTTTTTTTTTATTTTGTTTATTTTCTTGTTTTTTGCAACCGCGGGACCGCGTTTCTGCGCTTCAGATTGCGTTTTTCCGACTCCTTTGTTTGATATCGTGTCGTATCGTCGTATTTATGTAGTTATTAGGAACGGCAAGGCCTACGTTGTTGCGTCCTTTACCTGAATATCGTGACCGAATCGAGTGTCGGCGATTTGAATCGTGTCTTGCGAACCATCGTCGAACGAAAGGTGAGTGATTTGCGTTTTCCTGTGATGTGATTTCGATGTGTTCGTTCCACGTGTCCGAGCTGCTTCTTCGTTTCAAATACATTTGGCCTGTGCTCACGATGAAAACACGCATCGCAGAAACCTGAAAGCCCGCCAAAAGAGCTCTAAAACCGCATCCCAGACCTGCCGGCAGACTTCCGAGCTAAGCCTGATTAAACAAAAACGTTTGATCCGGCGGAATAATGTGTTTGATATTACATCCCATGTCAACAAGGAACTGCGCTGTCTGTCTTCGCCCCCAACAGGTTTTATTCTTCCGGGTTTTTCAAATCTTTACCAACCCGCGTCCGATCGTAATACCCCGATCACAACAAATAGTTGATCGTGCTCCGATGGCTCCAAACATCAGCCGGCAAGGAAGTTACGTTTTTCGCTTCTATATTTTGACCCAAGTAAACTCATGTTCTCAAACTATGTCATTCTGTCACCACCTCCAGTTGCACATTCTGGCGCACTTGCAGCCTCGTGCACCCTTGCGAGGTTTCCTGCTATCGTACCCTGGATATCATGGATTTCTCGCCGTACGCGAGTGCTCACGGAGGCGGGCTATACACTCTGTATCATAAGTTGTGTGCAGCAGAGGCGCAGGCCCGAGCACATGACAGTAAAAAGCGCCTTTTTTGCACGAGTACCCGCGCAAAAGGACATTCTGCAGAGCTGTGCCCTCGCACCCGTGCCTTTGCTGCACACAACTTACGAGGCAGTATAATAACCGAGCCGTTTTTGTTTCTTTTGCACATTACTGTGAAAGAAGTGTCATTGCTGTCTTCTTCTCAAAGAAAACTCAGAGACGTTAGACAAAAGCAAACAGATAGGAGACTGCACATTCATATGTTTTTCCCCCTTGTGCTACAGGTGATGGCTGGTCGTGGTTCATCAGCGTTTGTTTTGAAACTGATGGGTACCACAAGGCATGAAGGAGGTGACTTGCAGCAGCAAGGCACTGCAAGCCTTCGCAGCAACTGGCTAGCCAGTGCTGCTCTGTTCTGAACTGCACTGCGTGTCATGCGGAGGTTTTGTGCAAGCTCTCTGGGCGGCGACGCTAGCCACGGTAAGTGCATTCTATGCAGCTTCCTTTTAGGGATATATGTGGCTCGCAGGCCATGTCGTGCCAGCGAAATATGTGCCACCCGAGTGACAGCAGTGCTAGTGGCAAGGCTGCGCTGACAGTAATCAACACTGCACTGTGTTTTCATTCAATAACTAGTGACAAGGAACCAAATACTCCCGAGAGAGTCTCGGTTGTGCTTTGATAAACTCCAGCTCGCTTATGAACAGGTGGATGGCACAGATGGCTTTTCCTGGTGGACTTGGTGTCCGTGTTAACATTGCAACCAGACTTTCTTTCAGTTTGTGGCGTTTTTTCGTTGCGGGTGACCAGCATTGCAGTAGAAAAAGATGCAAAATAGTATAATGTTTGCATTCGTTACCTAAATTAATGGCAAGAACAACTGATATACATTTCCACCGACTGCATTTCTCGGAGGAATAGCCTGGACTAAAAAGCTCGCTACACTATGTCGTTCCCTCTTCGCCTGTACAACTCTGCGTCTTCCCTCGATCGTCTTATGTGGCTGCTTCTGTGTCTGCCTAGGCGCTCGGTTGAAATGGGGAAAACTGTCTGCGTTGCACATAACCGCCATTAGAGCCAGCGTGGGCGTAGCTGGGGTAGCCCCCACTATGGCTTCTCCAGCTCGACACAAGTAACATTCCTACCGCTGTTGTGTTAGCAGAAAACAGACCTGCTTAAAACGTACAGTGCACATAGCACACAATGGAGAGGTTGCTCGCCAATCATTTTCTTGGAAGTGTGAGTTGAGCCCTTTCGAGGCAGTTTGCTTCCGCACCGTGCACTATAATCCGCCCGAGAAGAGAAAACAAGATGAATAACCAGTAGGATTTCTTTGTTCCAAGGCTTCTTGACGCAGAAAAAGACTAGGGAGCCAGTATTGTTGCTTTTCTGCTACCCCGTGCGAGACTCAAACCCGACATGCAAGGAAGTGGAAAGGCCTCTTCCTTTCTGCTTTCTTTTGCCTTGGGTTTTAGCTGTGTTCAGAATTCACAGCTCGCCTGCATGCCTACTCTTTTGTTCACTGTGTTACTGAAGTTTTCTGTCGTTGCTGTCCCAGATTGGCTTCGTGGATGCACAGAAATACTCAAGGCGCTTGACGTCTGTGGCTCATCTGTATTGTTTTTCCCGGTACCACGGCATGAAGGAGCTGGCCTCCCTCCCTTCCATCAGCTGCGAGATACTACAAGCACTGGGCTACAGCTGCAGCTAGCCCATGGGTACCGTTCTGCGTCCTGTACTGCATCTAGTTCGAAAGGCAGGTGTGGTCTTTATGGGCTCTGTCACTATGTGCATTTTCTGCAGCTTTTTCGGGGCAACTTCATATTAAGATTCAATACGGACTCGAGTGAGAGGGGGGCATTCTGAGAAAGCCAGCCTCTTTGTTAAACCATTGGGACTGGTATTATATCTACAGAGTTTATTTACACCTTTTGTTATGTACTTTTTTATTTATTTTTATTTTACTAGTTACTTATACTTCAATCTGACACGACAGCCACCAAAAATGGGGAAAGGACAAAAATGTTGACATATTGGCCTTTTTGTTTTCTGGCAGTTTGTTTGAAGAGCCAATGTTGGGGGCCGCCATTCGTGTTATTTTTCCCACACGCACGTCCAGCCTATGTTTACGTAAAGCCCCAATTGCCCCTTAGCAACAAAAATAATTTATGCGACAGACTAGGCGGCAGCATTGTGGACAAAAACAGGCCAGATTATATCTGCCATGTTTAAAAACTACATTCGGTGACAGGTTATGAATTCAGTGGCAAGAATGCACACCGCCTGCCAATCACTGCTGTCAGTTGTCGTGACGTCACGTCCTGCTAAGAAACTAGTATATATTTTTTTTAAATGGCAGGTTTTGGTTGCTGATGCCTCGTAGCACGTCAGCACTCTAAGCAATTCTTCTGCTCTTGGCCTCTCCGGTTTTACTTTGCAAAGTCATGACGGCGTCTGCTTTTGTTTGCGGTATTTCCCGTGTGTCGACGTGAGAAGGCAGCGATTGTATCGCCAAGGAAGTAGCGATCAATCTGCGCATTTATTCCAGCGGCACAGCGTTTACAAACCGGACTTTGCCCTTCACCGAGGGGAAAGTCTACCGACTGGCCCTACAGTTGGCGAGCATTGTGCAGCCGTGAGCGCGTAACTTGTCCGAATGCTTTCGTCTGTATACAGTGACAAAATGACTCGCTGAAATGCGAAGTACCATACAGTACCATGCCGTACAGCAAACCATCGATCACTTGCTGCAGCAACTTTGCGTTTTAAGTCGTAATAATAAAGTGATTTTTAGGCTAAAATCATTTTTTCATACTGCTCAATTATTCGGAATTCTGCACGATCCCCATCGGGTCTGCAATATCGGTCGGTGGTTGTATAACCTTTAAACACAATGGTTACACACCACAGGTACCGGGGACCATGACATCAGTGAGCTGGCTTTCACCTTGTCCAAGGCAGCAGCGGAACACTACGGGCGGGACCCTGGATCACTGCACCATGGATGCCGTCCTGTACCCTGCACGGCACTGCGTGTGGCTTAAGTGGCCAAGCAGAGGGTCATTGCATGACTTTTATGAGGCGCCGCTAGCCATTGTAAGTACATTTTGGACACTCATGTCTGGTGATGTACTTTTGTGCTCTACCGCAGAGCACATTTGGTGGCGGTTCAGTCTTGCCAATTACACCATTTTGAAACGGAACACATTTAGTGGTGGCTCGGTTTAGGTTTCCTGGCTCGGTGATCTTGCAACAGTGTCTAGACTTGGCGTAAACCTTTTTGTACTTCATTGTCAAGGCTAGTGTAATTTCTGCAATGCCGTTGAAGCCACTTCTGCACGCAAACAAGATAAAAGTCGAAGCCACATGCTCGTGCACAGTGTATGACTACATGTATGCATGGGCACTCGTGCCCATGCATACCCACTCGCAACATGGAGCATGTTTGTTTCGGCCGACACTCCACGCGTTCATTTCGGCGTCGCCACTCCACACGTCTATGCACTCGCTGCACCTTGAGAATCAAGTGTGCACCAGAATGCACTCCCGTCATGCATCACTCGGGAGAGGAACAAGAGCAGACGACTGGGGTTTTTCCGCCATAAGGAACGAGAACCGAAAAAAAGGAGATTTTCTGCTAAGAAACTGCGTCCCACGGGCAGCAAAATCGGACGCGAGCTGGGCTATTTATTCTGTGAAGCAAGCAATCGACAACCTGTGCTTCATTTTCAATTTTTCTTTCAGTTTGTTGCCACACACTTTTTTATTTTATTTATTTATTTATCAATACTGCCGGCCCAATATTGGGCCAAGGCAGGAGTGGGGTGATACAGTGTCATACCTGCAAATTATAAACACAACAGTTCTAAACAAAAAGCAATCTTAGCACTGAAAAATATCTACGACTTAATCGAAAGAAGAAAATCAATCAATATCAACAGTATTACAGTAACCAAATGTAAGGCTAGTAATAACAGTAGCAGTAAATGTAACAGCAGTAATAACTAATAAAATAAAGACAGTAAAAATAATGTCATAACAGCAATAAATGCAATCTTAGCACTGAAAAATAATATCTACGGCTCTTCCGAAAGAAGAAAGTGAATCAATATCGATAACATCACCGGGAAGGCTGTTCCAAAAATCAATTGTATGCACAAAAAAAAGATTGTTTATAGCTATTTATTCGAGCTTTAATAGGGGCTACGGTCTGTGAGTGATGCAAGCGGTCCGAGTAAAAACTTTTTGTTTTTAGGTAAATCACGCTATCAATTTTTATACTACTCTTGAAAATCTGAAAGAACAGCTTCAAACGTTGGCTCTCTCTTCTGTTTGACAGCGGGCTTATATTGGCTCTCCTTTTACGTTCGGTCACAGACATAGTTTGTCTGAAATCTGAAAAAACTATATGCACTGCTAGCAATTGAATATCTTCGAGTTCACTGACCAGAGAGCTCTGCCATGGGCTCCACACTCCAGACACATATTCTAACACAGGTCTAATAATTGTCTTATAAGCAAGAATTTCAACGGAAGGGGGAGATTTACCCAGCGTTCCCCTCACGTATCACAATTTGTTAGTTGCCCGCTTCTTAACATACTGTACATGCCTTTTCCACCCAAGGTCACAAGACAAAATCACTCCCAAATATTTGTAACTGTCTACTTCAGTCAATCCTATGCCAGCAACCTCATAGCTAAAATTTAAGATAGTTCTTTTTGTTGTAATATGCATGTACTGAGTTTTGCTAATATTAATATCTTCATGTTATTTTCATGACACCAAGACGCAATGTTAGCCAATGCGTCGCTCACTTTTATCTGGTCTGTAAAGTTTATATTCATCTCGTCTCGTCTCGTGACATGAAGTCGCTCGTCTTCGGGTCTGTGCTGACGGCGTTGTCGCCGATTGCCAGTCGAGGGTTTTAGTGATGTCGGGATAATAGACTTAGGGTTGAATAACTTGGCTTAATATACAGGTGTTATACACAAAAATTACAGCATAGTTAGAGTTCGCTAGTTCTCAAAACTCAATGGCCTCTGCCGTCTAACTCTCTAAGTGACACCCCTGCACTTTATCCACTTGATTTTTTTCCGCATCACTCTTGATGGGCCTTTTATCTCAACTCCTGCTGCATCGCTCTCGATGTGTCTCCTCTCAAGTCTCTCAGTCAACTCCCCCTTCTCAACTCTGCCGCTCCCAACATAGCTACCCTCGTCTCTCTCTTTCACTCTCTCCCTCTAACATGCATTCTCGTCCCTGTGGTAGGGCTACACATATCCCGACAAGCAAAATAATAAATGAGTTCAGTTGGCGCTATCCAAAACAAAACGGCCCTCCGCCGCCGACTCTGTAAACATTCCAATCATAGACCCCTACAAACGCATTTACAAGTCCTTAATATACCTCTCATGTTTACAATAGCCGATTCCCCGTACAACCTAGAAAGGTCGACAACACGGGATGGGACATGCCATCAACGGCATAACGCGGCACAATGTGCGTCAAGGGCAGCTAAAATAATACAAAGTACCTTTGTAGGCAAAGAAGTTATATGCGGAGTTCTATATAAACAGGTGTAAGGTTATAATGTTCACGTTGGCGCCTCCACTTGGGGCCCATCGACCCCGGGAGGGGGCACGCAAGGTGTAGTAAAGATGCTCGAACCCCCGATGAAGGCAAAAAGATACAAAATTACGCAACACGCCCCTTTAACCGAAATGATAACATAAAAAAACAAGATTTGCGAGCCTTTGCTCACGAAACGCCCATTGTTTTCATTGCACAGTGCAACTCCTCCTGTAATACTGCTTTATAAAACTAAGCATCCGAAGCAGACACGCACAAGTGAAATGCTCTGAATACAATAAACTTTTTTTTTTTTTTTTTTCACATTCTCAATGTTTAGGTTTGTAAAAATAAAAGAAAAATCTTTGCGACTACATGTTCAGTGGAGAAGCAGATCGCAAGCCTTGGCAGGGCACTACATTCTGATCATAGTGCCCATAGATACGCGACAAGGCGTCCGCATTCGAATGCAAGCAACCCTGTTTGTAGTCTATCTTAATCTGGTAGGCCTGCAGCAACAGGCTCCAACTTTGTAGACGGTCATTGTTCTGCCTGCTGTTGTTTAGCCATCGGAGCGCGTTGTGGTCCGACTGGACTGTGACATTTTGTCTATCAACATACACATGAAAATGTTTCATGGCCCACACAATTGCCAGACACTTCTCAATTGTTGCATACTTCTTCTCACAAAGAAGTAGCTTACGGCTGGCGTACGCAACGGGGTGCTTGACGCCCTCGCTAGTTTGAGCTAGAATGGCCCCGATCACCCTGTTGCTAGCGTCTACTTGGAGTATATAGGGTCGACTCGGGTCTGGGCTCCGCAGCACTGGACTGCTGCATATTCTCTCCTTCAGTGCGCTGAATGCGCTCTCGCATGACAGCGTCCACACTACTTGCTTAGGTTCAGCCTTATGTGGGAGGTCGGTCAGCGGTGCGGCCAGCTCCACGAAGTTTTCAATGAAATTCCGGTAGAAGTTAACTAGGTCCAAGAAGGAATGGACTTCTGTCTTCGTGTGGGGCCTCTCGATCGCCTGGATGGTCTCAATCTTTTCAGGGTCAGGTTGTGCTTGCCCATCCCTAATCACGTGCCCCAGGTAGTGCACTTCCCACCTCCCAAACTGGCACTTGTTTATTTTTTAGAGCCAGGCCTTCCTGACGCAACTTCTTTAGGATGGTGCACAAATGAAGCAGGTGTTGCTGAACACCTGCCACGTGTTGCTGAACACCGCTATGTCATCTAAGTATGCCCGAGCGAAGTCTCGGTGCTCTTTCAGGAGGTCGTCCACCAACCTTTGGAATGTCGCCAGTGCTCCTTTCAGTCCGAACGGCATCACCGTAAATTCGTGCAAGCCGGTGTCCGTACGGAATGCTGTCTTAAAAAAAGCTTCCTCTGATAAACCGATTTGCCAGTAGCCTTGGGACATGTCAAGGGTGCCGATTATTTTGGCTCTCCCCACAGTCTCAATCATCTCAGGGAGTGAAGGCATGGGGTAGGCATCATCCTGTGTTGTCGCGTTCAGCTTCCTGAAGTCGACACAGATCCTCATGCTGTTGTCTTTCTTCACGCATACTATCGGGGATGCCCACGGACTTGTCGATGTCCGTATGATGCACCATTTCCAGCATTTCCATCAGTTGTTCCTGTACCCCCACCTTGATACTGTACAGAACCCTGTACGCTTTCGACGCAATCGGGTCGGCGCTCTTTGGGATCTCGTGGTTCTACCTGGCCTATCGTCGAAGACATCACCGTAGGACCGAATCAACTCGTCCAGTTCTTGAACCTCGTGAGCCTGAACTTCAGCGTCCATGTTCAGCCCTCCGCTTGACCCGTTCTCTCGGGTCCGTACATCAAAACACGCCATTTCGTCACCAATTTCGTCGGGTGCTTCCATTACAAAGGACATCTCTCGGGTAACGTTTTCGGTCATGACCGCTTTTATTTGATACGGGTATTGAAGAAGTCTTGACAAGATCATTAGAGAAAAACCGAGTGACTTGCGGGAGCCACTGGTTTCCCTCCCCTGAGAAGGTGTAAGCTGCAGACATTCCGGCCGGAGTCGCCTGGCTTCGAGCCTGCTCGTTCTGTATCATGTCGGGGAGAGTATGCCACCCTTCTGGCCTACTCTCACACTTCCCTACACGTTTCCCGTTTTCAAGGGACCAGCCAGATCACACGGGACGGTCCCTCCTCCGAGTGGACGTTGCCCGGAGTCCTGAAGTGGACTCCGGGCGACGGGTAGGGTGCGAAGAGATCCTATGAATGCTATGCAATTTAGAACACCTTTGGGAAATGCCAAAGAAAGCTATTTTTTTGTGGATGTGGTGCTGTCTGTTGGATTTTTCGCTAGCCATTGTTAAACTCCCAGAACTCTGTGCCGAAAAACTGAGGGAGAGGAGGAGACAAGAGTGCGGGGACGTCAGAACGCAGAGCTCTGATTGGAACGATTAGTGGGTAGACCTAAAGCTAGCTGCCTTTGTCTGTTCTGCACATGCGGAACGACGGTGTCTGGCTTTTGGTTTTTGCATTTGAATGCGTTCGACGAGTGCAGTGGAGACAAAGATAGCTTCTGTCTCTGCTGCAGTCGTCGAACACATTTGAAGATGGAACGCCGGCATCCAGCGTTTTGTTCTCTCATTCGAACACGTTAGAACGCGGAACGCTGGTGTCCAGGGTATGGCTTTCACATTCAAACGCCTTTGATGAGTGCAGTGGATACAAAGGCAGCTAGGTCTACCCTCTAATCATTCCAACCAGAGCTCTGTATTCTGACGTCCCCACATGCTCTCGTCTCCTCCTCTCCCTCAGTTTCTTGGTGTATACTCAAGTGCTCTGCATCATGTGCAGATTTTTTTTTGTGGGGGGGGAGTCACATTCCCCCCCCCCCCCCCCCCCCCCCCCCCCCCCTTGAGGTTAACTTCTTAATGAAAAATCAACATACTCCAGCTTTTCTTAGGAAGAAATTATTAGTTTTTGGTGACATAACAAATATTAGGTCAACAAAACACACCTGGGCAACATTTTGCCCGTGATATCATCTTGCAAACCGCCCCCCCTCCCACCGACCCCCACTCCAACCAGCCTGACAAATTCGCCCTTGCTGTTCATTGCCTTGCATGTTTGGGTCAGATATTGTTGCTGTTGACCTGATGGACTCCCTTGTTCTCTTCATTCATCATAGGTTTCAAACCGTCCTGAATCACGGACCAAGCCTTGGCAAGACCTCACTCTTATGCCCTCTCCTTTTTGGTGGATCGGGTCTTGCCATCTTCCCCTCTCGTGGCTCCCTGTCATAAATAAATTGTATATTTTTCTGATGACGGTGTATACCTCTTGCTACACTTCACAAAAGGAGTGTGGTAAATCCATGCCACAGATTACTGTGAAACATGTGAGGAGGTAATTATTAAAAAGATGAAGCTCCGAAAAGTTTGATGGAAAGAAGATGGATATCCCTGTTTAATTTTTCTTGCCACCTTAACATGCTATGTCCGAAGTATTTCAGCCTTTCGTAGCATTGGCTTTTGACCACTCACACTTTTAAGGAAAGGCTTTTAGCGAGAAAAGTTCCCAAGTCTGTGTTTTTTTTTGCAATTAATTACTGAGAAAAGGTTCATGTGGAGCGCAGGTTCGTCTGCTTGTGGTTACGTCGAAATGCGGAGCTCTGATTGAAAGATGGTGGGTAAACGATGCTAGCTGCTTAAAGGTCCATCCACTATCCTTAATCACAGGTTTAGCTGCTTTGAGGTCTATCCTTAAATCGGAGGTTGGCATTCTTGCATCGCCACAACCCATGCAAAAGAAAAACTCGCTCCACGTGGACATTGCCAAGTGTATTTCAAAACGTCTATTACCATTATTTACCATTATTTTAACGAGGTCTTGCTAGGGGAAGTAAGTTTTCCAAAGTTTTTGCAATTGCCATACATAAATCTGAAGAAAAATCAGGAAAAAAAAAACATTGAGTGCATTTGTCCTCAGAGTTTTTACAGAATACACATCGCTATCACCATCACTGTTTTTATTTTTTCAAGATGGCCGTCCCGTTTCGTCTTTCGTGAACGTTCTGTGATTTCGGCGATTTACGTGATTTACGAACAGCACTGCCCAATTGGTACGTTAATTTTGGTGGCTATTTATCGCGTAATATTGTGGGTATCTTGTATTTGTACTGAAAGTAGTATTTGAGGTTTAGATTCGTACAGAGCATTAGCTCGGTGGGTCGTCGTCTCCTAAATTGCTTGTTTGCCTTTTGTCCACGTTTCTTTCCCTTACCAACCCATCACACACTCGTTCATTTCCCTGTTTTCAGTATCTACAATTTTGCTAACGACAGTCTGGTTATGTATGAATCCGGATACGTAGGAAGTGACCAATGTCGCTGTTCGCTAAAATGCAATTCGCTCATGTGATACGGATCCGCTCTACCTGCACTGTTCTTTTTATGCTGCGCAATTGCAAGATACGCTTTTACTGTTTTGAAAATATTAACTTACGGCGTTCTATAATATCGTTTGGAAGCCGAGTTATGTTCGTAAAGAACACGTGGTTAAACGGTGGATAGCACCTGTGCTGAGATGTTTTATTTTCGAATGTCCGGAAAGCATCCTCGCCGGGGCAGCTGTCAAC